AACCAAAACTGAAATAAAAAAAAAACGAATAAAATTCTCAAATATACAACAAAATTACTAAAATTAAAATGAAAACAGAAAATAAAAGTATTAACAAAAACTATATGTATCCAGTTGCTAAAAAAACACTGATTCAGGATGTGGTGGCAGCATTTAATAAAATGTCTAAAATATAAACCAATAATAATTAAATATTAATAATTGAAATATTAAATGTATTATTGGAATTAAATACATTATTCATAATATTTATTGAAAGGTTGTAATATTGAAATCTCAGGGAGCATCTTAAATAAAAAAACGAAACAAAACTGAATGCATAGCAGATTATTGTAATACATCTCTCTTTATTGCAGATGTGGACACCACTAAAGATCCCTGCCAGAAAGTCAAATGCAGCCGAAATAAGGTGTGTGTCGCCCAGGGCTACCAACGTGCTGTGTGCGTCAACCGCAGAAAGCTGGAGCACAGGTGAGTCCTTCAGCTACAAGACTCTGTCTTCATGCACATAACAATAATACATGCCAGGACAGTGTTTGTTTTTTGAGGGTATGAATAAAAGAAGCTTGGTGCCATTCTAAGGCACTGTGCAGAATGTAACTGTCCAATCTAGCTTTTCATTATTTATATCATGATTAATCACATTTCTGAGACTTTAAGGTCCAGATGATTGGCTGAGTGCTTATGAGCAAAGATGGCTGTTTAGAAAGCAGTCTTAAAGACACAGCAGCAAAACAATAGGGTTGAAAACGGTCATAAAAATTATGGTCCTAAAATTATGATAGTTCTGTCATGACAACTCTTAGATTAGCATGATTAAGATTAGCATGTTAATATACATGGCAGTGTTAATGTGTTTGGTCTTGGGGGAATAGATCTGGTACACTGCTGCTGTAGCAGCAGAGCAAGTACTTCTGCCAATACATCCACGACATACTGCTGTGAGCATGTAAGAAATACTGCTGCTGCGCTTATAACATATATAAAATAACCCGCATATATAGCATACATGAAATTACCCCGTAGCAGATCTATACAGGTGGAGCTGGGGAAGGTGGAGGGTTTTGAACCGCACTGCAAACTTCTATGGCGAACACTGGCCAAATATTTGAATGTCGAGCAGCAAACTCATTGGCTGCTGATGCAACAAAAACCATGTGAATAATGATGTGATTATATCAGATTGAGTTAGGACCTATTGGCCTGCGCCATCTTGAGTTTCATGACAGAACTTTGTATTTTGGTGCAAAAAACCTTGACTAACATTTTAACTGGACCCTAGAGAAAATTCAGTAATTAAAATAGTTATGATCCCTTTTTTTCCACAAGTGTTAGAGAATGTTCACTCACTTGTGAAGAGAAAGCCATATTTTTATAGAGGTGAAATAAGAGCAATTTATTAAAGCAGGCATGTGTTGTCTGGTGGCACATTGTGAGGTACACAGATTTAGTCCCTGGACGTTTGTTCTATTTAGAAATTGAACTTGTTCCTGAGGCCATCCCTTAGGGGCTGGTTTTCATTGTAGCACACAACTAACTACAGAGAGCATTCTTGTAACTTTAAATAAAAAAATGGACCAATGATGCACTGTTCCTGTTCATTTGAGTAACCAAGCATGCCTCAGTTTATATCTTAAATTGAATATTGATTTTATTTTGATGCCATGTTAATATTGGCTATTTTAGGTTGAAGCAGCAGGTCATTAGACAGCAGCAGGAGAGTAACTGTAAGCCTTGCCCAGTATCTTCCTCTGGTCCCGTTTGTGGCTCTGATGGACACAACTATGCCTCTCAGGTACTTCAGACTGCATTCAGCTTTCTTTAATTGTATTAAAATAAGCTGAACTGCAGAGAAATTCATCATATGGATATGATCAATTTCTCTGCAGTTCAGCTTATTTTAATACAATTGGATTTGTTGCACTTTTGTGCTTGTTCCAACTTTTTAGTTTTTTTTTTTCGGGTCAACTTAGGTAACCAAAAAATGTGCTTCATATTCTCTAAATCAGTAATTCCCAGCCAGGGATTGGTTTTGCTTTGTTAAATTTTTAAAACAGAATTTAACTATTGTGGCTGACAGTACATTAAAATAATAAATCATGATTAATCATGTTTATTAACTGCATTTAGTTCCTTTACATCCAACATTTGTATAAATTGATGATGAATTTCTGTCACAGGTGATATTTCATACTTGTTGAGCTTCTGAATTACACCACACAAGAAAAACCACATATATCTCGCTTTAATTTTGTTAAACGTCCCTTCTGGATTCATTTGTAAAGAAATTTGCTGCTAGGTCTTTCTTGGAGAAAGTTTCCTCATGAATGCCCCCAGAACATTTTTCCAGAGAGCACACAATAATTTGTGAAAGACGAACAAGATATGTCTCATTAAAGGGAAGGAAAACTACTTAGTAAGCCTGTTGTTTTAAGTGAATCATTGTAATAATGGCCACTTTAATATTGTTAATTATATTGATAAATAATATACATTTACATTTACATTTAGTCATTTAGCAGATGCTTTTATCCAAAGCGACTTACAAATGAGGACAATAAAAGCAGTCAAAACTAACAAAAGAGCAACAATATATAAGTGCAAATGACAAGGCTCGGTTAGCCTAACGCAGTACACGTAGCAAGGTGTATATATATCTATATCTA